TGCAGGTTGTCGGCGTTCGAGTCCCGATGGCCCAAGCGGGTGAGCAAAGGTTCCTTCATTTCGAACTCCGTTTTCCACCTCTTGGTCTGTGGTATAAGATACGCTGGCTTGGTGCTTTGCCTTTTTTTTCAACCTCTCCCAGCTCTTGGACTCCAGTTGTCGTGGACTCCAGTTGTCGTGGACTCCAGTTGTCGTGGACTCCAGATATCTTTTTTTTCCGTGTTAAGTCTCACTCATTTCCTGTAACATTTCAACTGGCCATGATTGCCAGCATCTTGGTATCCGCGGGACGTGCCCTCAGCATCCCCCAGCATCTTGGTATCCGCGGGACGTCCCCTCAGCATCCCCCAGCATCTTGGTATCCGCGGGACGTGCCCTCAGCATCCCCCAGCATCTTGGTATCCCAGGGACGTGCCCTCAGCATCCCCCAGCATTTTGGTATCCCAGGGACGTGCCCTCAGCATCCCCCAGCATCTTGGTATCCGCAGGACGTGCCCTCAGCATCCCCCAGCATCTTGGTATCCGCGGGACGTGCCCTTAGCATCCCCCAGCATCTTGGTATCCGCGGGACGTGCCCTTAGCATCCCCCAGCATCTTGGTATCCGCGGGACGTGCCCTTAGCATCCCCCAGCATCTTGGTATCCGCGGGACGTGCCCTCAGCATCCCCCAGCATCTTGACTGCCCTGGCTGACATCCCTGGGAGATGGGATGTTGTTCCCTTGTGCAGGTGGAGCACAAGGGAGTCTTGGGGTGATGGTTCGGGCACGCCCTTGACAAGGAAGTGTAAGGCAGCAGCGTCAATAAGGCAATTCTTCTACATACATACATACATACATACATACACACACACACACACACACAGGGAGTGGATGTGACACCTAATCTAACTCCTGAGGCACATATAAATAGGATAACGACAGCAGCGTACTCTACACTGGCGAAAATTAGAACTTCATTCAGAAACCTAAATGAGGAAGCTTTTAGGGCGCTTTACACTGCCTACGTGAGACCCGTCTTAGAGTATGCCGCGCCATCATGGAGCCCCCACCTGAAGAAACACATAAAGAAACTGGAGAAGGTTCAGAGGTTTGCGACGAGGCTTGTCCCAGAGCTACGAGGGATGGGATATGAAGAGCGGCTGAAGGAACTGAACCTTACGACACTAGAGAAAAGAAGGGAGAGAGGAGATATGATAGGGACATATAAAATACTCAGGGGAATTGACAAAGTGGAAATAGATGAAATGTTCACACGTAATAATAACAGAACGAGGGGACATGGGCGGAAACTGGAAACTCAGATGAGTCACAGAGATGTTAGGAAGTTTTCTTTTAGCGTGAGAGTAGTAGAAAAATGGAATGCACTTGGGGAACAGGTTGTGGAAGCAAATACTATTCATACTTTTAAAACTAGGTATGATAGGGAAATGGGACAGGAGTCATTGCTGTAAACAACCGATAGCTAGAAAGGCGGGATCCAAGAGTCAATGCTCGATCCTGCAAGCACATATAGGTGAGTACATATAGGTGAGTACACACACACACACACACACACACACACACACACACACACACACACACACACACACACACACACACACACACACACACACACACACACACACACACACACACACACACACACAGACACACACACACACACACACACACACACACACACACACACACACACACACACACACACACACACACACACACACACACACACACACACACACACACACACTAAGGGAGGTTCACACTGTATTTATTGGTACACAATACACGAAGATCCCCATTGAAAGGTGAGAAAAGTATTAACAAAATATATGTTTAGTTATTTTTTCAGATTACATGACAGGATTACTGGTATGAGGTTACAAGAAACAATACCGCTGGTATCAGGACACGATACAATACCACTGGTATCAGGACACGATACAATACCACTGGTATCAGGACACGATACAATACCACTGGTATCAGGACACGATACAATACCACTGGTATCAGGACACGATACAATACCACTGGTATCAGGACACGATACAATACCACTGGTATCAGGACACGATACAATACCACTGGTATCAGGAAATACGATACAACACCACACGCAGGAGGGGTCACACTCCCTTGTATTTCTTACGTACACTGAAAACAAATATCATCACAAGCAAACATTTCTTACTTTCATTCCACGAATTAAAGAAATCTAATTTCTTCTTGATTATCTGTTAAGAGGTCTGTTGATTGAACAAACCTGTAGAGGTTGGATTCTTAACATAATTAAACCCTGTAGAGGTTTGACTGCCTCAGAAACCAGCCATAAAAAAAACATAGGAACACTACAGTAGACATACGGGCTCACCATAGCCCGTGCTACTTGGAACTTTTTGTTCCAGGTAGCGAATCTTTAACAACAACAACTACAGTTACGGGCTCACCATAGCCCGTGCTGCTTGGAACTTTTTGTTCCAGGTAGCAAATATTTAACAACAACAACTACAGTAGACATACGGGCTCACCATAGCCCGTGCTACTTGGAACTTTTTTGTTCCAGGTAGACCTCTTAAACAACGTACAGTAGACCTAGCCAATGCGGTCCTGTTTACAAACTACTGTCTTCACCTCCTTATCTGCCCAAACTATTCATCAATCTCCCCCCCCCCACACAAGGTATTCTTGGCAGTGGGATATATACACGCAGAGGTGTACCCTTCCAGGTGTATATACACAGTCTATTTTAGCCCTGAAAAATTCTTTAGACACTAAAGTGTAATTTGTTGGTGAATCATTATAGTGTGACGGCTTCCGGGAGCCTAACATTGTTGATAAGCCTGGTGGTTGATAAGGCTGGTGGTTGATAAGGCTGGCGGTTGATAAGGCTGGCGGTTGATAAGGCTGGCGGTTGATAAGGCTGGCGGTTGATAAGCATTTGGTGGATTGGTTATGTATGATGCGCCTTTCGGTTATCTTGAGATGATTTCGGGGCTTTAGTGTCCCCGCGGCCCGGTCCTCGACCAGGCCTCCACCTCCAGGAAGCAGCCCGTGACAGCTGACTAACACCCAGGTACCTATTTTACTGCTAGGTAACAGGGGCATAGGGTGAAAGAAACTCTGCCCATTGTTTCTTGCCGGCGCCTGGGATCGAACCCAGGACCACAGGATCACAAGTCCAGCGTGCTGTCCGCTCGGCCGACCGGCTCCAACTCGGCATATAACGCGTGCCTTTATGGTTCTCAGGAGCGTCACCTTCAAAGTGTTCAGTCAATTTATAAGAAAGGTTCATTAAACTCAAAGTTAAGTACAAATAACTATCAACAGGCTCACCGTAGCCCGTGTTACTTGGAACTTTATGTTACAGGTAACGAATCTATAACAACAACATCAAAGTTAAGTGGGCTGTCTATTCATAGATATTATATATATATATATATATATATATATATATATATATATATATATATATATAACCTACCTATATATATATATATATATATTAAAGGAAAGAAACGTGTTCTTTTACACAACATCCTGGTTACAACCGCAGAGAACATGCGCAATTTGTATGCATCTATTCACTTATATTTTCTGGTCTATCCAGACCTCCGATCCTGCCGCGCCCCCCCCCCCCCCCCCCATCGCTAGCGATCACCTTCAGCACGACCTAATTACGCCCATGTCCCTTTGAGCGTCGTGGCTTCCCTCAGACCTTCATTATTCTCAAGATTGCCCTCAAAACTGAGGCTTATAATTAAAAAAGAAAAGTCTATAATTATATATATATATATATATATATATATATATATATATATATATATATATATATATATATATATATATATATATATATATATATATATATATATATATATATATATATGCGCTTAATGTGTAGCATAGACACAATGTTCTCCCATATTAAGAGGGACTTGATGAAAGAACGTGAGTGACCTCTCACTAGTTCTAGTTGCCTTTGGGAGGTGGTGATCTTTGGAGAGGTTAAATACCCCGAAATTACCGTCTTTTTTAAGAGTCTGAGTTTGGTGTAGTGGGTTAAAGGCGTCCCTGCTATGCCAGTTGCTGCGAGGCTTCTGTGCTGGCTAGGGTTAGAGTCTCCTGGTGGGAAAGTGTTCTCAAGTTGTAAAACTTCACTTGCGTGTTTAGGCAAGTTAGTACATGCGAGTAAAATTTAGCCCAATTTTATATAAATGGAAATTCTCAATGAAAGTTGCGATATTGCTTTTGCATGCAAATATACGGATAAAGTTTGGCTTTCTTTTGTAGAACTCTGCAACTGGAGTCCCTAGTGCAATAAATCTCCACATTTTACTAGGTCCGAGTTCAACTTCTTTACACAAATCTTGTTATTCACTCTAGACCAGATATTCCCATATATACATGGTATTAAATATAGGACTAAATGATTGCCGGAAATAGTGTAAGATTGGGAAATTAGTTGTGTAATCATGCTGGAGATTGGTTGAGAACGATGGCAGGTTAAGGAGAAGTATGTAATCAAGCTGGTGATTGGATGAGGACGATGGCAGGTTAGAGAGAAGTATGTAATCAAGCTGGTGATTGGATGAGGACGATGGCAGGTTATAGAGAAGTATGTAATCAAACCGGTGATTGGACAAGGAAGATGGCATATTATGGACAAGCACATACGGAGCGGGAAATTTGGCAGCCTCCGCTGACAAGGGTACCACCATCTGGCGGACCTTCCGGGAATCAAAACATTCTTTGTTTCCTCCCTGCCACAACGGCAAGTTGCGTCCGCTTCCATAACTAATCCATGATTATAAGGAGGCAGGACACCACATGGGAATATTTTGATAATATTCCCCCGGACAGGTTGCATCAAAGACATCAAAGTCGGAGTGAAGGCGGACCTGGAGAGGACGCCACGAGGCTCTGGGATAACTTGACGGTACACACAGCGGAAGGCCATGCCTGTTTCCGGAGTTAATTAGCTTCTCTCAATCACTGTCTATTCAACAGGAAGCCATTTCCAGGAGTTTCTCAGTTTGATTACACGATCCCGTCGTTACCGTGTCGCTGAAGGTGCTCTGTTCTCCGAGGGCCTGGAACTGTTCCCAGGTCTGGAACTGTTTCCAGGGGGCCTGGAACAGTTCCCGGAGGGCCTGGAACTGTTCCCGGGTCTGGAACTGTTCCCAGAGGGCCTGGAACTGTTCCCAGAAGGCCTGGAACTGTTCCCGGGTCTGAAACTGTTCCCAGAGGGCCTGGAACTGTTCCCAGGGACCTGGAACTGTTCCCAGAGGGCCTGGAACTCTTCCCAGAGGGCCTGGAACTGTTCCCGGGCCTGGAACTGTTCCCAGAGGGCCTGGAACTGTTCCCAGAGGGCCTGGAACTGTTCCCAGAGGGCCTGGAACTGTTCTTAGAGGGCCTGGAACTGTTCCCAGAGGACCTGGTACTGTTCCCAGAGGGCCTGGAACTGATCCCAGAGGGCCTGGAACTGTTCTGAGGGCTTGGAACTGTTCCCAGAGGGCCTAGAACTGTTCCCAGAGGGCCTGGAACTGTTCCCAGAAGGCCTGGAACTGTTCCCGAGTCTGGAACTGTTCCTCGAGGGCCTGGAACTGTTCCCAGAGGGCCTGGAACTGTTCCCAGAGGAACTGGAACTGTTCCCAGAGGGCCTGGAACTGTTCCCAGAGGACCTGGTACTGTTCCCAGAGGGCCTGGAACTGTTCCCAGAGGGCCTGGAACTGTTCCCAGAGGACCTGGAACTGTTCCCAGAGGACCTGGAACTGTTCCCAGAGGGCCTGGAACTGTTCCCAGAGGGCCAGGAACTGTACCCAGAGGACCTGGAACTGTTCCCAGAGGGCCTGGAACTGTTCCCAGAGGACCTGGAACTGTTCCCAGAGGGCCTGGAACTGTTCAAAGAGGGCCTGGAACTGTTCCCAGAGGGCCTGGAACTGTACCCAGAGGGCATGGAACTGTTCCCAGAGGACCTGGAACTGTTCCCAGAGGGCCTGGAACTGTTCCCAGAGGGCCTGGAACTGTTCCCAGAGGGCCTGGAACTGTTCCCAGAGGGCCTGGAACTGTTCCCAGAGGGCCTGGAACTGTACCCAGAGGCCCTGGAACTGTACCCAGAGGGCCTGGAACTGTTCCCAGAGGGCCTGGAACTGTTCCCAGAGGGCCTGGAACTGTTCCCAGAGGACCTGGAACTGTTCCCAGAGGGCGTGGAACTGTTCCCAGAGGGCCTGGAACTGTACCCAGAGGGCATGGAACTGTTCCCAGAGGGCCTGGAACTGTTCCCAGAAGGCCTGGAACTGTTCCCAGAGGGCCTAGAACTGTTCCCAGAGGGCCTGGAACTGTTCCCAGAAGGCCTGGAACTGTTCCCGAGTCTGGAACTGTTCCTAGAGGGCCTGGAACTGTTCCCAGAGGGCCTGGAACTGTTCCCAGAGGACCTGGAACTGTTCCCAGAGGGCCTGGAACTGTTCCCAGAGGACCTGGAACTGTTCCCAGAGGGCCTGGAACTGTTCCCAGAGGGCCTGGAACTGTTCCCAGAGGACCTGGAACTGTTCCCAGAGGGCCTGGAACTGTTCCCAGAGGGCCTGGAACTGTACCCAGAGGGCCTGGAACTGTACCCAGAGGGCCTGGAACTGTTCCCAGAGGGCCTGGAACTGTTCCCAGAGGACCTGGAACTGTTCCCAGAGGGCCTGGAACTGTTCCCAGAGGGCCTGGAACTGTTCCCAGAGGACCTGGAACTGTTCCCAGAGGGCTTGGAACTGTTCCCAGAGGGCCTGGAACTGTTCCCAGAGGACCTGGAACTGTTCCCAGAGGACCTGGAACTGTTCCCAGAGGGCCTGGAACTGTTCCCAGAGGGTCTGGAACTGTTTCCAGGGGGCCTGGAACAGTTCCCAGAGGGCCTGGAACTGTTCCCAGAGGGCCTGGAACTGTTCCCAGAGGGCCTGGAACTGTTCCCAGAGGGCCTGGAACTGTACCCAGAGGCCCTGGAACTGTACCCAGAGGGCCTGGAACTGTTCCCAGAGGGTCTGGAACTGTTCCCAGAGGGTCTGGAACTGTTCCCAGAGGGCCTGGAACTGTTCCCAGAGGGCCTGGAACTGTTCCCAGAGGGCCTGGAACTGTTCCCAGAGGGCCTGGAACTGTTCCCAGAGGGCCTGGAACTGTTTCTCTTAATCATCACACAGGTAACACTAGTGAGGCACGGGTAACCTCTGTATGTGAACTCATATTTCAAGCCTCTTGCCATTAATCACTTATTAAATATATATAATATTGAGCAATAGGGGAACATGTTTTTTCTTTTCGTTGCTCTCAGACTATTTTGGTGCTGCAGCAGTGATGATATTGTCGGTGTGTCGTCCCACTGGTGGTTGTCGGTGTGTGTCGTCCCACTGGTGGTTGTCGGAGTGTCGTCCCACTGGTGGTTGTCGGTGTGTGTCGTCCCACTGGTGGTTGTCGGTGTGTGTCGTCCCACTGGTGGTTGTCGGTGTGTGTCGTCCCACTGGTGTGTGTCGTCCCACTGGTGGTTGTCGGTGTGTGTCGTCCCACTGGTGGTTGTCGGTGTGTGTCGTCCCACTGGTGGTTGTCGGTGTGTGTCGTCCCACTGGTGGTTGTCGGTGTGTGTCGTCCCACTGGTGGTTGTCGGCGTGTGTCGTCCCACTGGTGGTTGTCGGTGTGTCGTCCCACTGGTGGTTGTCGGTGTGTCGTCCCACTGGTGGTTGTCGGCGTGTGTCGTCCCACTGGTGGTTGTCGGTGTGTCGTCCCACTGGTGGTTGTCGGTGTGTCGTCCCACTGGTGGTTGTCGGCGTGTGTCGTCCCACTGGTGGTTGAAGTCACAAGGTTGCATCCACGTTAGCAGCGTGTCCTAACCTAATAGGTAACTGATGTACTATGCAGCTGGTGCGGACCCAGCTAGATACCGAACACAATCCGCAGGGCGTCGTTATGCAGCTGGTGCAGACCCCAGCTGGATACGGAGCAGCAGCAGCAGCAGCAGGAACACCCGTGGTGGAGATTCAGAGAGCGTTTGATAGAGGTATTTCCGCCATGATCAAGCTGTCCCGTCAAGGTCCGCTCCGCCCTCGCCGAGATGTCGCATTGTGGACCTAATGCCCGCCTGCCGCAGATAATCTACCCGCACCATGTTAATACCCGGTCGGGCATGGTGTAATGACACCGCCTCCCTCTGATACCCACGATGCCCTCTTTTGTAAGGTCTCGTGTATGTAACGAGTGGGCAATTGTCATGCGCGCGGCGGCCGGCAATCAAGCCTCACGCCAATAACTCTGCGAAAAAGTCCGCTCCTTGTAATATGGAGGAGGCTAACTGTCGTAGTTCAGAGGCGGCGGCCCGCAGGGAGGCTCTCATTACGGCCGAGCTGATGTAACACACGGGAATGTTAAGCGGGTGTTCTGAGGCCGGCCCTGGTGCTCCTTGTTGGTGTTACCTGCTGGTGCTCCTTGTTACCTGCTGGTGCTCCTTGTTGTTACCTGCTGGTGCTCCTTGTTGTTACCTGCTGGTGCTCCTTGTTGTTACCTGCTGGTGCTCCTTGTTGTTACCTGCTGGTGCTCCATGTTGGTGTTACCTGCTGATGCTCCTTGTTACCTGGTGGTGCTCCTTGTTGGTGTTACCTGGTGGTGCTCCTTGTTGGTGTTACCTGCTGGTGCTCCTTGTTGGTGTTACCTGCTGGTGCTCCTTGTTGGTGTTACCTGCTGGTGCTCCTTGTTGTTACCTGCTGGTGCTCCTTGTTACCTGCTGGTGTTGCTCCTTGTTACCTGCTGGTGTTGCTCCTTGTTAATGTTACCTGCTGGTGCTCCTTGTTGGTGTTACCTGTTGGTGCTTCTTGTTACCTGCTGGTGCTCCTTGTTACCTGCTGGTGTTGCTCCTTGTTACCTGCTGGTGTTGCTCCTTGTTACCTGCTGGTGCTCCTTGTTAATGTTACCTGCTGGTGCTCCTTGTTGGTGTTACCTGTTGGTGCTTCTTGTTACCTGCTGGTGCTCCTTGTTGTTACCTGCTGGTGCTTCTTGTTACCTGCTGGTGCTCCTTGTTACCTGCTGGTGCTCCTTGTTACCTGCTGGTGCTCCTTGTTACCTGCTGGTGTTGCTCCTTGTTACCTGCTGGTGCTCCTTGTTGTTACCTGTTGGTGCTCCTTGTTGTTACCTGTTGGTGCTCCTTGTTACCTGCTGGTGCTCCTTGTTACCTGCTGGTGCTCCTTGTTACCTGCTGGTGCTCCTTGTTACCTGCTGGTGCTCCTTGTTGTTACCTGCTGGTGCTCCTTGTTACCTGCTGGTGCTCCTTGTTGTTACCTGCTGGTGCTCCTTGTTACCTGCTGGTGTTGCTCCTTGTTACCTGCTGGTGCTCCTTGTTGGTGTTACCTGCTGGTGCTCCTTGTTACCTGCTGGTGCTCCTTGTTGTTACCTGCTGGTGTTGCTCCTTGTTACCTGCTGGTGCTCCTTGTTACCTGCTGGTGCTCCTTGTTACCTGCTGGTGCTCCTTGTTACCTGCTGGTGTTGCTCCTTGCTGTTACCTGTTGGTGCTCCCCGTTGTTACCTGTTGGTGCTCCTTGTTGTTACCTGTTGGTGCTCCTTGTTACCTGCTGGTGCTCCTTGTTACCTGCTGGTGCTCCTTGTTACCTGCTGGTGCTCCTTGTTACCTGCTGGTGCTCCTTGTTGTTACCTGCTGGTGCTCCTTGTTACCTGCTGGTGCTCCTTGTTGTTACCTGCTGGTGCTCCTTGTTACCTGCTGGTGCTCCTTGTTACCTGCTGGTGTTGCTCCTTGCTGTTACCTGTTGGTGCTCCCCGTTGTTACCTGCTGGTGCTCCCCGTTGTTACCTGCTGGTGCTTCCCGTTGTTACCTGCTGGTGCTCCCCGTTGTTACCTGCTGGTGCTCCCCGTTGTTACCTGCTGGTGCTCCCCGTTGTTACCTGCTGGTGCTCCCCGTTGTTACCTGCTGGTGCTCCCCGTTGTTACCTGCTGGTGCTCCCGTGGTCACAAGGTCAGAAACAATAAAGTAACGCTCCAGGATCAACCTCTACATTAACCAAGTGTGTAAGAGAACAGAGCGTCTTTTTCACAGACTCTCACAGACTCTCACAGACTCTCACAGACTCTCACAGATTCTCACAGACTCTCACAGACTCTCACAGACTCTCACAGACTCTCACAGACTCTCACAGACTCTCACAGACTCTCACAGACTCTCACAGACTCTCACAGACTCACAGACTCACAGATTCCTAAGCCTATTGGGCTCAGGAATCTGTACACCAGTTGATTGACAGTTGAGAGGCGGGACCAAAGAGCCAAAGCTCAACCCCCGCAAGCACAATTAGGTGAGTACAGCCAGGGGAAGACTACAGATAGAACATAAGAGAACATGAATAGGTTAATGGGTTAAAGGGAGGTTAAATTAATGGGTTAATGGTTGCCAGGAATGACTACAGTAGAGTGGGAAGAGAAGCGGAGTCAACAACGTAGCCGGTAAAGCCAAGGCCCAACCCAAGGCGCTTCACAATCCTATCAAGATGAAAACAAAGAGTTAATGAACAGGGGGCCAGATTCACGAAGCAGTTACGCAGGCACTTACGAACGTGTACATTTTTCCTCAATTTTTGACGACTTTCTTCACATTTAGTAGTTTACAAACATGAAAACTTGCCAATCAACTGTTGTTATTGTTATAAACAGCCTCCTGGTGCTTCGGAGCTCATTAACTGTTTAATAATTGGAAACAATGCTGCCAAAGATTTAGAAAAGATGTACAGGTAAGTGCTTGCGTAACTGCTTCGTGAATCTGGCCCGTGGCAGATGTGTGACACACCTGTGTGACATCTCAACACTACGCCTCTAGTTTTACAACAGAACAATGGGATGGGTCTTAACCCTTAAACTGCGTAGGTGGTTAAAAGTTTTAAAGTATTAACACTCCATAAGGATTAAAGTATTAAAAATCCATAGGATTAAAGTATTAAAAGTTCATAAGGATCAATTGTATATTACTTTTATATTAACACATTTAGCTACATGTGCACTTATGCGGATACCCTAGACGATATGAGGGGAGTTCAGAGATCACATGGCCTTGTATGTCTAACCATCCTGCGAGATGAGGATTTGAGGCATCATGTAGCTAGTTCTTGACACACCCTGTACTCCCCTTCATATAGTCTAGGGTAGCTAGTTCTTGACACACACTGTACTCCCCTTCATATAGTCTAGGGTAGCTAGTTCTTGACACACACTGTACTCCCCTTCATATAGTCTAGGGTAGCTAGTTCTTGACACACCCTGTACTCCCCTTCATATAGTCTAGGGTAGCTAGTTCTTGACACACCCTGTACTCCCCTTCATATAGTCTAGGGTAGCTAGTTCTTGACACACACTGTACTCCCCTTCATATAGTCTAGGGTAGCTAGTTCTTGACACACACTGTACTCCCCTTCATATAGTCTAGGGTAGCTAGTTCTTGACACACTCTGTACTCCCCTTCATATAGTCTAGGGCAGCTAGTTCTTGACACACACTGTACTCCCCTTCATATAGTCTAGGGTAGCTAGTTCTTGACACAAACTGTACTCCCCTTCATATAGTCTAGGGTAGCTATTTCTTGACACACTCTGTACTCCCCTTCATATAGTCTAGGGCAGCTAGTTCTTGACACACTCTGTACTCCCCTTCATATAATCTAGGGTAGCTAGTTCTTGACACACACTGTACTCCCCTTCATATAATCTAGGGTAGCTAGTTCTTGACACACACTGTACTCCCCTTCATATAGTCTAGGGTAGCTAGTTCTTGACACAAACTGTACTCCCCTTCATATAGTCTAGGGTAGCTATTTCTTGACACACTCTGTACTCCCCTTCATATAGTCTAGGGCAGCTAGTTCTTGACACACTCTGTACTCCCCTTCATATAATCTAGGGTAGCTAGTTCTTGACACACACTGTACTCCCCTTCATATAATCTAGGGTAGCTAGTTCTTGACACACTCTGTACTCCCCTTCATATAGTCTAGGGTAGCTAGTTCTTGACACACACTGTACTCCCCTTCATATAGTCTAGGGTAGCTAGTTCTTGACACACTCTGTACTCCCCTTCATATAGTCTAGGGTAGCTAGTTCTTGACACACACTGTACTCCCCTTCATATAGTCTAGGGTAGCTAGTTCTTGACACACACTGTACTCCCCTTCATATAGTCTAGGTGAGCTGCACAAATGCAGATGTATCTAAATGTATTAATACAACAAAGTGTCAAGAACTAGCTACGTGATGCTAAAAATAATTCCCCAATGCACAAGATGGTTAGTCATACAGGACTCAGCACGTGGCGACTTGAGCGCGGGAGGAACTCTTAGATAACCACTGGAGCAGACTGGGTTAAATGACTGTTATACCTGGCCACACTGGAGATCTTCCAAGTTACCTGAGATACAGTAAGGAGCCGCTTGCTGGAGCTGGACACGACTGAGGCCCTGAGACCAGATACGAACATGAAGACAGACAGGTGTCCTCGCGAGACGGGTGTCCTCGTCAGACGGGTGTCTTCGGGAGACGGGTGTCTTCGGGAGACAGGTGTCTTCGGGAGACAGGTGTCCTCGTCAGACAGGTGTCTTCGGGAGACAGGTGTCCTCGTCAGACAGGTGTCCTCGTCAGACGGGTGTCCTCGTGAGGCGGGTGTCCTCGTGAGACGGGTGTCCTCGTGAGACGGGTGTCCTCGTGAGGCGGGTGTCCTCGTGAGACAGGTGTCTTCGTGAGTCGGGTGTCTTCGGGAGACGGGTGTCCTCGTGAGACGGGTGTCCTCGTGAGACGGGTGTCCTCGTGAGGCAGGTGTCCTCGTAAGACAGGTGTCCTCGTGAGACAGGTGTCTTCGTGAGACAGGTGTATTCGTGAGACAGGTGTCCTCGTGAGACGGGTGTCCTCGTGAGACGGGTGTCCTCGTCAGACGGGTGTCCTCGTCAGACGGGTGTCCTCGTCAGACGGGTGTCCTCGTCAGACGGGTGTCCTCGTCAGACGGGTGTCCTCGTCAGACGGGTGTCCTCGTCAGACGGGTGTCCTCGTCAGACGGGTGTCCTCGTGAGACAGGTGTCCTCGTGAGTCAGGTGTCTTCGGGAGACGGGTGTCTTCGGGAAACAGGTGTCTTCGTGAGACAGGTGTCCTCGTGAGTCAGGTGTCTTCGTGAGACGGGTGTCCTCGTCAGACAGGTGTCCTCGTGAGACGGGTGTCCTCGTCAGACGGGTGTCCTCGTCAGACGGGTGTCCTCGTCAGACGGGTGTCCTCGTCAGACAGGTGTCTTCGTGAGACAGGTGTCCTCGTCAGACAGGTGTCCTCGTAAGATAGGTGTCCTCGTCAGACAGGTGTCCTCGTCAGACAGGTGTCCTCGTCAGACAGGTGTCCTCGTCAGACAGGTGTCCTCGTGAGACAGGTGTCCTCGTGAGACGGGTGTCCTCGTCAGACAGGTGTCCTCGTCAGACGGGTGTCCTCGTCAGACAGGTGTCCCTCTCTTGCACATCACTGTAATGGGAAGAGACAGTACGGAAGTCGACGGTCTAACGTCTGGTGAGAAGAGCCTTCATAAAACAGTACCAGAATAGGTTCAGAATCTTGTATATAAAATAACAATAAATCTTGTATCACAAATTTGATTGAATTAAATCCCCGCGCGACGGAGATCAGACACAGTTGGGCAGACCGCCCAACCTGTGATCCTGTGGTCCCGGGTTCGATCCCGGACGCCAGCGAGAAACAATGGGCAAAGTTTCTTTCACCCTATGCCCCTGTCACCTAGCAGTAAAATAGGTACCTGGGTGTTAGCTGTCACGGGCTGTTTCCTGGGGGTGGAGGCCTGGTCGAGGACCGGGCCGCGGGGACACTAAAGCCCCTAAATCATCTCAAGATAACCTCAAGATAACCGCATATTTCTAGACTGTTAGAAAGCCTTGACACAGTACCGGAAATGATACAAGTGATGAATTTGGATAATTAAGATGAAGAAAAGGCCGGTGGAAGACTGCAAAGAAGCTGCAAGATGACCGCGACAACCTGAAGAAATGGACGAACAACAAGTAACAATTAAGAGTTTGTCTCCGGCGAATGCAAATTAATGCATGTTGAGAACAGGCGAGTGAACATAAGGTATCAGGTGGTTATCTTGAGGTTATCTTGAGATGATTTCGGGGCTTTAGTGTCCCCGCGGCCCGGTCCTCGACCAGGCCTCCACCCCCAGGAAGCAGCCCGTGACAGCTGACTAACACCCAGGTACCTATTTTACTGCTAGGTAACAAGGGCATAGGGTGAAAGAAACTCTGCCCATTGTTTCTCGCTGGCGCCTGGGATCGAACCCAGGACCACAAGATCACAAGTCCAGCGTGCTGTCCGCTCGGCCGACCGGCTCCTGGTGGTAAGATATCCTTATAAGCCTGACTAAAATATAGCTGTCTTAGTCAATGTAAATACACAGCTTCACAGGCAGACGTGACAAGAGACCAACAGGCGCAGAATCCTATATACCAGTTGAGTGAAGGTTGAGAGGCGGGACCGAGGAGCTCAAGCCCCTTTGAGTGAAGGTTGAGAGGCGGGACCGAGGAGCTCAAGCCCCTTTGAGTGAAGGTTGAGAGGCGGGACCGAGGAGCTCAAGCCCCTTTGAGTGAAGGTTGAGAGGCGGGACCGAGGAGCTCAAGCCCCTTTGAGTGAAGGTTGAGAGGCGGGACCGAGGAGCTCAAGCCCCTTTGAGTGAAGGTTGAGAGGCGGGACCGAGGAGCTCAAGCCCCTTTGAGTGAAGGTTGAGAGGCGGGACCGAGGAGCTCAAGCCCCTTTTAGCACAATTAGGTGAGTACCTACCCCAGTGACCCGCTCCTACTCCCACATATTTATGTCCTAAACTTTCTATATTTTGCTGTTTCTCCTTTCACATTTTTCCTGGTCTCTCTGTGGGTTTATATATTGGTTTATATTTCTCAGTGACTCTCCAAAGATCTGTTAGGCTCAGAGCCGGCCCGGGCCTTGAGGTTAATAAGGTGAGACGCCACACCAAGATTGGACATGAGGTAAACTGAGGTAAACTGAGGTAATGAGGCAGGCCTCGGGCCGGGCTTGGGGAGTAGAAGAAACTCCCAGAACCCCATCACAACCAGGTATCAACCAGGTAAACTTAAGACCCCCAGTTAACCCCCCTAAACCACCCCCTACGACTCCATTACTGACGAGGGTAAACTCTCGGCCTCCCTCCCTCCCCCCCCCACACGAAACAAGTCGAGCCGCCGTGCGTAGAGGAATTAAGAGACACTCACGATTTATTCCCTGAAAACCAGTACGGGAAGAATAGCCAATTGGGTCGTTTCTCTTCCCTTGACATGCCCACTGAGCGACCCTGCTCTCCCATCTGCCGTGAGGGGGTCCTCTGTGATGGGCAGGGAAGGGGGGGGGCAGGGGAGGGGGGCGACTGGATGTGGGAGGGGGGGGAGATAGATATACAGGGATGGTATGAATATATTGGTAGGGTGGAAAGGGAGAGTTGGGAGGCATATGTGGGATGGGTACTGGGAACTTTATATGGGATGGGAGAATTAGGAGGCATATCCGGGATAGTAAGCTGAGGCGGTATATGGAAGGGGAGGCTGGGGAAGTATAGGATGGGGGAGGCCCTCGAGGAGATGGAATGGGTGGAAAATGTGGTCTAAGATGTTATACAAGGGATGGAAGAGGAAACACCGTGACACAGGAATGGGAGGGACCCTCAGCCAGGAATGGGAGGGACCCTCAGCCAGGAATGGGAGGGACCCTCAGACAGGAATGGGAGGGACCCTCAGACAGGAATGTGAGGGACCCTCAGACAGGAATGGGAGGGACCCTCAGACAGGAATGTGAGGGACCCTCAGACAGGAATGGGAGGGACCCTCAGACAGTAATGTGAGGGACCCTCAGACAAGAATGGGAGGGACCCTCAGACAGGGATGGGAGGGACCCTCAGACAGGGATGGGAGGGACCCTCAGACAGGAATGGGAGGGGACCCTCAGCCAGGAATGTGAGGGACCCTCAGACAGGAATGGGAGGGGACCCTCAGCCAGGAATGGGAGGGGACCCTCAGCCAGGAATGGGAGGGACCCTCAGCCAGGAATGTGAGGGACCCTCAGACAGGAATGGGAGGGGACCCTCAGCCAGGAATGGGAGGGACCCTCAGCCAGGAATGGGAGGGACCCTCAGACAGGAATGGGAGGGACCCTCAGACAGGAATGAGAGGGACCCTCAGCCAGGAATGGGAGGGACCCTCAGACAGGAATGGGAGGGACCCTCAGCCAGGAATGTATGAAAGACTTTGGAGAGTAGCAGGAGTGACAGAAGGTGAGGAGGGGGGGGGGTGTATTTATGTATGTGAGGGTTGGCGAGGTATACATTATAGGGGATGAGGTATACATGTGTGAGTTGGGGAAGTGTACACGAGTGAGAGGTGGGGGAGCTACATATGGGTTGTGGAGGGTGGGGGTTAGGTATACATGAGTAGGATTATATAGGTGGAATTTCGTATATTCTTGCAAAAGTCCTCAGCATGATATACTGTTTCAAATGTCTCCAGCGTAGCATACTTACACAAAGTGTCCAGCGAAGGAATCGGCCATACACCACGCGTGTAATCCTGGTGTTTCCTGCCGCTGTGAGCGTGACACGAACACCACCATACGAGTATAAGGAGTTAATACGTCAGCAGTCTCCGTGGTGTAGTGGTAAGACACTCGCCTGGCGTTCCGCGAGCGCTATGTCATGGGTTCGTATCCTGGCCGGGGAGGATTTACTGGGCGAAATTCCTTAACTGTAGCCTCTGTTTAACGCAACAGTAAAATGTGTACTTGGATGAAAAAACGATTCTTCGCGGCAGGGGATCGTATTCCAGGGACCATAGGATTAAGGGCTTGCCCGAAACGCTACGCGTACTAGTGGCTGTACAAGAATGTAACAACTCTTGTATATATCTCAAAACCAGGCAACAGGTTATAGCAGTGACCGTGGTCCGAGGCTCCCCAGCACTGTGGGCGGTTACCAAGTGTCTGAGAACCAGTGGTAGTGTGGGCTACCACCACTGGTTCTACACCCCTGGGTCCTCACGCTGGCTACACCCACGCTTGAGTACCTGCTTGATGGGGTTGTGGGAGTTCTACTCCTCAAGCCCGGCCCGAGGCCAGGCTTGACTTTTGAGAGTTTGGTCCACCAGGTTGTTGCTTGGAGCGACCCGCAGGCCCACATACCCACCACAGCCCGGTTGGTCCGGCACTCCTTGAAGAAAACAATCTAGTTTCTGGGGTCCTCTTGTTCCATACTTATTGGGTCTTCCCTACTCTTCCCTCCTCCCTATACTTGCTGCGCCCCCCCCCCCCCGGACCCATGCTTACTGAGTCCACCCTATTCCTACTAGGCCCTCCCCCATTCTTGGCTCACCAAGTCCAAGTCCCCACGCGGTTACCAAGTCCTCCCTCCCCCCCCCCTCCCCTTCTCTGTGCTCTCCACGATCATTTCCTTTACATTATTTCCTCGGCCAGCTTGGGGCGGGAGGAGCAGTGTTCGAGCGAGTGCCCTGCTCTACTCCAGTCACTGTCACCTGCACTCACCGCACTGTCACCGTAGATCACCGCACACCAACTACGACAGTGAACCCAAACTTGGCTTCTGGTTGATGCGCCTCGTGAGTCCTCGCCCCCACCCCCCAATCATGACAGGCAGGGAGGGGTTAACAGGGACAAGGTGTGTCGACACAGTATGTGTATACACAGCGAGGTGTGTGTGTGTGTGTATACACTATCAGTGAATATACTCCGCTTCTCGGAGTAAATTCACTGATAGTTTACCCCTGCCCTGAATCATGTTCAGGAGAATCGACTTGAGAATGGTCCAGGACGGACCGAAACGACGTCGTCGTCCCTTCACCTTCTAGTGTGTGGTCTGGTCAACTTCAGAAGTAAAGTATACTTGCTGGTTTGCTCGGTACGTTGTTGTTGTTGTGGATGATTTAATAACCCTCCAGAGGTTGTTACGTCTTAAGCCCGAGTGTTTTCAAGTCCCTGGAGCTAAGACGCACCAAGTGTCATAACACAGAGCCCGTAGGCGCTCACTGGACAGGATTTGCAGGTGCTCAGTGAGGAGTCTGAGAACGCTCAATTGGCAGGTGTTACAGGCGTTTAACAGGTGGGGTTACAAAGGCCCTCGACGCGGAGGACCTGCAGGCGCTCAAGGGGCAGGGTGAATATCACAGCCAAAATAATATATTAAGACAGCGATTACTGTTAAAGCCTTGACGCTCGTGTTAACATTTCAATGTTATCCCCATTCATTAAACGTCCTAAACTCTGTACAAGAGTGTGTGTGTGTGTGTGTGTGTGTGTGTGTGTGTGTGTGTGTGTGTGTGTGTGTGTGTGTGTGTGTGTGTGTGTGTGTGTGTGTGTGTGCGCGCGCGCTCATGCGCGAACTCAGGTGTGTATGAGTGATATGTCCATACATGATATCCTTTTGAATGGGATTAAGGCAATATATATATTAATTCGACTCGACTGAAGTTTATACTCGTTACATTTCCTCAAGGCGAGTGGGATCCCTGACCTTTCCCCCCCCCCCCCCCCCCCCACCTCCCAGCCAAGCCAACAATTACTTCATTACCTGCTCCTCGACTCTCCGGTGACACTCACTCAAGGAAGGAGCCGGACGCCTTACATGTCATTACAGACCTCTACCCTGCACCCCAAGCTACCTAATGTACGAATAAGCCCCCAAGTTACCTAATGTACGAATAACGAATTGTAGTGTAAAATTATACGTAGAGACACAAAGCCTTAATCTTCAAAACCTTAAATGTTTGGTAGTCAGTCAAGGAAAACGTCGCGAGTGTCTAAAATGTTGTAGTCGCTCAACACAAACAACGGAGAGGTTTTTTAAAATTAAGCCAAAGAGTTATGGAGTCCATCAAGACGTACATGGCAACCCCGACCCGCTCCATCATCGTGACTCAGCCAACACTAACGTGCCTCTCTAATTCAAATACTGATTAGAATTATCCCAA